AATTGAAATCAATTGAAAGTAAATTGAAATCAATTGAAAGTAAATTGAAATCAATTGAAAGTAAATTGAAATCAATTCAAAATAAATTGAAATCAATTCAAAATAAATTGAAATCAATTCAAAATAAATTGAAATCAATTGAAAGTAAATTGAAATCAATTCAAAATAAATTGAAATCAATTCAAAATAAATTGAAATCAATTCAAAATAAATTGAAATCAATTCAAAATAAATTGAAATCAATTCAAAATAAATTGAAATCAATTGAAAGTAAATTGAAATCAATTCAAAGTAACTTCAAATCAATTGAAAGTAAATTGAAATCAATTGAAAGTAAATTGAAATCAATTCAAAATAAATTCAAATCAATTGAAAGTAAATTGAAATCAATTGAAAGTAAATTGAAATCAATTCAAAGTAACTTCAAATCAATTCAAAATAAATTGAAATCAATTGAAAGTAAATTGAAATCAATTCAAAGTAACTTCAAATCAATTGAAAGTAAATTGAAATCAATTGAAAGTAAATTGAAATCAATTCAAAGTAACTTCAAATCAATTGAAAGTAAATTGAAATCAATTGAAAGTAACTTCAAATCAATTGAAAGTAAATTGAAATCAATTCAAAGTAACTTGAAATCAATTGAAAGTAACTTGAATTCAATTGAAAGTAACTTGAGATCAATTGAAAGTAAATTGAAATCAATTGAAAGTAAATTGAAATCAATTGAAAGTAACTTCAAATCAATTGAAAGTAAATTGAAATCAATTGAGAGTAAATTGAAATCAATTTAAATCTAATTCAAATCAATTGAAAGTAAATTGAAATCAATTCAAAATAAATTGAAATCAATTCAAAATAAATTGAAATCAATTGAAAGTAAATTGAAATCAATTCAAAGTAACTTCAAATCAATTGAAAGTAAATTGAAATCAATTGAAAGTAAATTGAAATCAATTCAAAGTAACTTCAAATCAATTGAAAGTAAATTGAAATCAATTGAATGTAACTTCAAATCAAGTGAAAGTAAATTGAAATCAATTCAAAATAAATTGAAATCAATTGAAAGTAAATTGAAATCAATTCAAAATAAATTGAAATCAATTGAAAGTAAATTGAAATCAATTTAAATCTATCATTTTTTTTTGATTTCACCGTATTGCGTACCCGGTACCTTGGTTTTTTTACACTATTCTGTATCCAAAATTTGTTTAGGGGGGGGGGCCTCCCCACACTAATCTGTAACCTACATTACTAGTCTTTGCCTTATTATCATTTCCTTCTTCCTCCTCATCTGCCTTCTTGTCCTTCTTCCTCTTAGTCCTCGTCTTCTCACCTCCTTCTTCCTCTTCATCTCCCTTCTTGGCCTTCTTCGTCTTAGAGCCGCTGGGCTTCGTCTGCTCATCTCCTTCTTCCTCCATGGGCTCTGCTGCCTCCTCATTCTCTCCTTCTTTGCTCTTCTTCTTCTTCTTCTTCTTCTTCTTCTTCTTCTCAGCTTTTGAACTCTTCTTGGAAGAGCCCGGGCTTTCCACCTTTTCATCTTCTCATTCAAGTTGAAATCCACCCGTTGCCACTCTTCGGAGTCTCTTCAGCTTTTTCTCTCCGTTCCCATTTGTAGGTTCACATCCTTCATTTGGTGAGAAGGAATTTTCATAAAGTTTTGTTTCCTGGGACTCTTGCTTGACTATCGAACGACCATTTTCATGGTTATTTCCTTTTCCAGCTCCTTTTGGGAAGCCCTTGAGCTTCTGCATCTCCATGACAGCCTTGTTCATTGCCATTTTGGTTTCTTCTGAATTGTCCCCTTTCTTGATGGCTGTCACATGCTTTTGAATTTCTGCGTAAAGTTTGGGGTACTGGCTCTTGGCAAACTCATGGCTCTGAGGGGGCTGTTTTCCCAGAAAGCCTTTGGGAAAGCGCAATCGCTCCAGGCTTCTTCTCTGGCGTGACGAACTTGCTTTCTGCTGTCCTGCGAAGCTGGATGCATGGTCTCAATGGCCCCCAAACAGAATTATGCAGCCAAAATACATTGCAGCAGCCCCAAAACACCAATCCTTAGCTTAAGGTATATGGTAATTATGAATTTCACGAATTTCACGAATTTCACGAAATTTCACGTTTTTGGGGCCCATGAACGATTCATAGTATCATCTTCACGGAATTTCACGAAATTTCGCGTTTTCAATTTTCAAAGCTTTTGGGGAGGAAGGCACCCAAATTTCATGAAATTTAATGAAAATGGAAGCTTTTGGGAGGAAGACACCCAAATTTCATGAAAGTTCATGAAAATGGAAGCTTTTGGGAGGAAGACACCCAAATTTCATGAAATTTCATGAAATGAAATTGCCACCTAAAAGCTGAATTTGATCAAACCCATGGCGTTTGCAGGGAAAATATTCCAGAAACCAAAGATGAAGGACCACCTGGGGATAGATATTAGATATACACAGTATACAGATATCTATCTACCTGCCTATCTACCTATCTACCTATCTAATTCTTTATTTACTACCGTTGCATATACCCATATGTCTCTGTATATATATATGTGTGTATATAAACATGTATATGTATACACATTGTGTATAAATATACATATATATGTAGATGCACCAATATTCAAATATATGTATGTGCAAATATAACTGTTATAAAAGCAAGCACGGTACATTTGTATTTGAAAGGATGTAATGTAAGTATGAATATATGTAAGGGCGTATATACCTGTAGATTTTGCATATGTATGCATGTAGGCAGGCAGGCAGGCATGTAGGTGGGTAGGTAGGTAGGTATGTGTGTATCTATGCATACTTGCATGCAAGCATGTTTACATATATACATCTATCGATGTAGTCATATGTATATGCTTATATGTATAAATCAAGGTATGTTTAAATTTATATATGTATAAGCATGCCGTGCAAATGTGTAGATGTGTAGATGTTGAGAGATACATAAATGAATGTAAATAGATGTGTACTTACTGTGTAAAAATCTATCTGTATACCTGTATATGCATATACGTTTTTGGAAATATGCAAATATGTGTATCTTTATATACCAATGATTTTGTATGTATATAAGCATGTATGATATCTGTGTATGTATGTATATATGTGTGCATATATATATATATACATATGTATATGTGTATTAGTACGCACATGAAAATTCTTCTGTTTGGGTGCCAAGGCTGGCACTGGTCAAGCGTAAGGTGGTGAAAAACAAGTTCTAGCCAAAAAATAGCTGCACACCATGCACAACTCAGGACATGGGGCTATCAGTTACTGCATCGAAAGCTGCACTGCCGTGTGGACGGACGAACCTTACCTTTTTGGACACTTGGTGGCATCTAGTCCAGGATGCCACCCAACCCGGAGTCATCAGAATCAGACCCATCTAGGTCGTGAAACTCAAGGTCCATCTCTGGAAGCGGTTGCTCAACTTTCCTTGGATCAGACAACATGTTTTGCTGATGAAACACCATTGTTAAATCCAAAGTGTGGTGTTCTTAAAACAGGCGTCGGTGGGATAAAATTGAAAACTCCAAGTGTCACATGTTTCTTGAGGAGCTCACCCACCTGCAACGTACATGCATGGGAGTAGATTGAAACAATATAGATCAAAGTGTTGGTTTCAGCACAACTGATACTCAGAGAACGGCTAACCTTCAGACCCAGTCCCACTGGGTATTCCGATGTCTTGGAAAGGTCTTTACCTCCAGCCTTAGCTGACCAAGAGGAACATTCAATACCATATATATATATGTATACATGTATATAAATATGTATATATATACATATATATACATATATATATATATATATGTATTTATATTTCTATATATATATGTATATATATGTATATATACACATATGTGTATATATATATATTTGTGTGTATAGGTATATATTTATATATTTATATATCTATGTATATATGTATATATGTATATGGGGATACATTCAACAGAAATCGGGTTCTAGGCCCTTTTCAGGAGACTTGTCACAGACTAAATGAGGCTGCAATGGATTCCGTTTCAATAACACTTGGCCCCATATCAACATCGTATGACATAGGAATATTGGGGAATGGAAAATAGTTTCAAGCCACTTGTTGAAATTGGTTTCAGATGGTAAATTTCCACTTAGGTTGGTTCACCAAAAAAGGCCCCCGCAAGTCCCCCAAAAACAGTGATTTCCCTACATTTTATGAAAAAAATTGGGACTTGTGGAGGCCTTTTTTGGGGGACCAACCCAAGTGGAAAATTAGCAGTTTCAGTCCTTTTGTGAACCCAGGCCAATTTTGGTGTAATAAGGTTCTTCCAACAAGTATATGTCACCATCTTGGTGTTTTGGATGGCTTTGTAAAACACTTAGAAAAACATATCTGGCTTTGGGACAACATTTTGTTATTCTTTCTCCCACACCCCAGAGAATGCAGCAAGATAACGACCTTCACTTCACCAGATTTGCTACAGACAAATTTCCGGACGATCTCCAGGTCGAGGCTGCTACGAAGTGGGGCCAATCGCTCCCTGGCATGAAAGCAAATGGGGATGGTTTTGAAATTGAAAATCAACAAGGAGGGATTCCATCGATAAGTTTGGGAACATTAAAAGAACACAAGTCTTTTTTTGAAGGTGTGGAGGCACCAATAACGGATGGTTTACTCAATCGCATGGTATGCTTAACAAGAATTCGTTTCTCCACTTTTGGGACGCTGCCTTCGGACCGGATCGAGGCTGCAGCCAAGCTGGTCTAGATACGGGGCCGTGGTGTAGATGGCCACTCTTTTCCTGGGAAAGGAAGTACAGTTGACTGCTAATAACCAGTGCATTCAACAAACATGCAGACATTCCCACAATCACATTTTTGGATGTGTTTGGATAAATACCAAAAAATTGCTTTGTTGGTAGTTATTATTTGAGAAAAACACACAGCTAAATGTATAGTTATAGATTGCTTTGTTGGTATTTATGATCAGCCAAACGACTCACTCAAGGATCCAAAGGCCCCAAGGGGGATTGAGATAGCTCTGGCCTTGTGTCGCCGCAGCATCGCCTGCACAAGTTACCACCACAGAAAAAAGAGGTTAAATTGATCCAATTCTCAATTTCCAAAATCTTTCTTGGCACAATATATTGGAGTGTTCATGAGATCTGTCATCCATGAAGGGTTGAAGGTTTTTATGTGCTATTTTTTGGGTGCGACCTTTTTGAAACATATTTTTACCCCAGAAGCGCTGCAAAAAGCTTACCCCCAAAAAATGACCCATGGAGGTCCTCATTTGCACTGGATAAGCGCCTCAAGAGGGGCATAATGCCATAACAGAGTAGAGTTCGGCTGTTCTATGGCGTAATGAATGCCTCTCCTGAAGCAATACTCGCACCTGAGGAATGGTGACAGGGGCGAACACCACTGCAATGCAAATTCACAGAAGAGATCTCCATTGTGCAGCTTGGCTGCAGGTACTGCACTCTTCGGATGAGACGGTTTGCTCGCCTCACCTTCTTGAAGTGCCGGTTTCCTTCCAGGGCATTTACAGCTAGGCAGCTATTGGAAGAATGATCGTTCGGGTTTTGTACCGGGTTCCGTCCCGCTCCCATGAAAACATATATGTTTATGTGTATCCACACATGTATATGATATATATATATATATAGATGTACACACGGACAAAACATATACATTGATTCCCATATCTCTTTTTCTGGCTGGTGGTCTGTCAAATTATATTCCAAAATGAGGACAGCTGGAAACATATAGCCTCGGACTCGAGTCCGTGAACGACCAGTGGTTGATCTTGAGAGCCATACCCACGTATTGCAAGGTGGTGCCACCCAGTAAAGCGCATGCTTTGCCAGTGTTCGTACCTACACAGAGGGGAGAGAGAAGATATATATCTATATATATATATATATCTATATACGAGAGAAAAAGAAGCATAATATATATATATATTTATTTACAGACAGATATTTATTTGTATACTAAAAATGGTGAACTCTGACTCTAAAAGCTTGCAAAATTCGATACTCACAAGCTTTCTCAAGGGCACTGCATGCAGCGACGCCATGAACCCAAGGCCACACAATAGGTTCAAGGCTGCATCATATTTCACCTCAGATTCAATTTGGGCATGCCTTGGCCGAGGTATAGCTCAAACATGGGAAGTCTTGTCAAAGCGTTTCACTTTGAACAGTTGTAGGTTGTAAGATATGAAATCCATGTGTAAAAATCCAAAAGAACAACAAGATCAAAGCTGATGAAATTTCATGTGAGAAACATCTCTCCGTTGGGCAGCCAGCCCCCATTCACGAACTCCAGCTGTAAGCGACCCGCTGCCAGCACAATCTTCTTGGAGGATTGTTAAGGCCCCATCATCAACAGGCCCAAAGCCGGCCCCGGAAGGGAATGAATGCAAGATTTAATTAAGATCAAATCGTGTTTCAATGCTTCATGATCTGTTTGCGTTTCCAGGTCAATGGTGCACGGCTTAACTCGAGAGTTAGTTCTCTACCTTTGAGGCCTAGAACAATATCTTTTGAGGGAATTAAATCTTGAGTTAATTCTGTTCATACTCCTGCTCTTTCTTCCCTCTTCTTCTCTACTCTGCTTGTATTTATTCTTCCCTCTTCGGTTCAACCCTTTTTTTTCTCCTTTACCTTCTCCATCCTTCTGATTCTTTCCCTTTCTCTTCTCTACTCTTTTCATGTAGTCTCTTTAAGTGCAATTGCCCGAAGTTTAACTGTAGTAGTTGATATAGGATCTCTTGAGAAGGACATTAAATTTTGAGTTAATTCTGTTCATATCGGCTCTGATACCTCCTGCTCTTTCAGTTGGTATGGGATCTCTTGAGAAGGAATTAAATCTTGAGTTAATTCTGTTTTTATTGACTCTGATACCTCATGCTCTTTCTTCCCTCTTCTTGCCTACTCTGCTTGTATTGATTCTTCCCTTCTCTTTTCAACTTGTTTGTCTCTCCTTTACCTGCTCCATCCTTCTGATTCTTTCCCTTTCTCTTCTCTACCCTTTTCATGTAGTCTCTTTAAGTGCACTTGCCCGAAGTTTACCTGTAATAGTTGATATAGGATCTCTTGACAAGGAATTAAATCTTGAGTTAATTCTGTTCATACTGGCTCTGGTACCTCCTGCTCTTTCAGTTTGTATGGGATCTCTTGAGAAGGAATTAAATCTTGAGTTAATTCTGTTCAAATTGTCTCTGATACCTCCTGCTCTTTCTTCCCTCTTCTTCCCTACTCTGCTTGTATTTATCTTTCCCTCTTCTTTTCAACTCTTTTGTTTCTCCTCTACCTTCTCCATCCTTCTGATTTTTTCCCTTTCTCTTCTCTACTCTTTTCATGTAGTCTCTTTAAGTGCAATTGCCCGAAGTTTAACTGTAGTAGTTGATATAGGATCTCTTGAGGAGGACACTAAATCTTGAGTTAATTCTGTTCATATTGGCTCTGATACCTCCTGCTCTTTCAGTTGGTATGGGATCTCTTGAGAAGGAATTAAATCTTGAGTTAATTCTGTTTTTATTGACTCTGATACCTCATGCTCTTTCTTCCCTCTTCTTGCCTACTCTGCTTGTATTGATTCTCCCCTTCTCTTTTCAACTTGTTTGTCTCTCCTTTACCTGCTCCATCCTTCTGATTCTTTCCCTTTCTCTTCTCTACTATTTTCATGTAGTCTCTTTAAGTGCAATTGCCCGAAGTTTAGCTGTAATAGTTGATATAGGATCTCTTGAGAAGGACATTAAATCTTGAGTTCATTCTGTTCATATTGGCTCTGATACCTCCTGCTCTTTCTTCCCTCTTCTTGCCTACTCTGCTTGTATTGATTCTTCCCTTCTCTTTTCAACTTTTTTGTCTCTCCTTTACCTGCTCCATCCTTCTGATTCTTTCCCTTTCTCTTCTCTACTCTTTTCATGCAGTCTCTTTAAGTGCACTTGCCCGAAGTTTACCTGTAATAGTTGATATAGGATCTCTTGACAAGGAATTAAATTTTGAGTTAATTCTGTTCATACTGGCTCTGATACCTCCTGCTCTTTCAGTTTGTATGGGATCTCTTGAGAAGGAATCAAATCTTGAGTTGATTCTGTTCAAATTGTCTCTGATACCTCCTGCTCTTTCTTCCCTCTTCTTCCCTTCTCTGCTTGTATATAATCTTCCCTTCTCTTTTCAACTCTTTTGTTTCTCCTCTACCTTCTCCATCCTTCTGATTCTTTCCCTTTCTCTTCTCTACTCTTTTCATGTAGTCTCTTTAAGTGCAATTGCCCGAAGTTTAACTGCAATCGAAGGAAGTTTAGAAGTCAAACTTCCGACAATATGGACAGATGAAAAGCAGAGCAGGGAAGAGGCAGAGAGAAGAGAAAGATTAGAAGAAAGAAGAGTAGAAGAGAAAGAGTAAGAAGAAAGAAGATGCAGATGCGTGAAAAGGTAGGAAAAGTCGCGAAACACTGTGTTTTTCCAATGATTTGTGGCTCTGGAGGGTCGGGTGCGGAGCCAGCTGGCAACCAAATGACATGAAGGAAATGAACCCGGGATTTCCCAATGAAAAGGAATTAAATCAAGATTTAATGCCCCAAAATGAAGGCCGCACACCATAAAAAAGAGTTGAATCAAGATTTAATTCCCCACAGATGGATACCTCCCCCTGGAATCTCCAGATGTCATTAGCAAAGAATTAAATCAGAATTTAATCCTCCCAAAATGATCCAGCAACAAAAGGGATTAAATCTCGAGTTCACACCTGGCAGGGACAGGTTGAAGTGTATCTGATGGTAACGGTTTAGATCGTGATTTAATTTTAATTGCGTACTGGAATCCACTCCTTTTGCGGCCAATAAAGCCGTCACAACTACAGCAAGGCTGGAGTATTTCATGGCTCCAAACCAAACACAAAAGCAGCTAGCCTAGAGGTCAGAGGCCTACGCAGCTGCAAAGTAGGGGTAAACAGCTTGGTTCAAAAAGGTGATCCAAACACAATTCACGTCGTTTGATGTTTTGGACCATCGGCCATGAAAAATGACTGGTAACCCATCGCAGCCCAGGCCTTTCCAGAACCCGAAGGGTTGCTTGCCATTTCCTGCAGCAGCAGCGAGGCTCATGCACGCCTGCAAATGCGAAGGCATGAGGGATCGGTTTGGGGAATTGACATGCTTTTGGGAAGAAAGTCAGCTGATAGAGATGAATTGGGCATTCCACTCCACAAACAAAAGTAGATCACTTGATCAGCTATATAGTATATTGCTTCCTTTCCGCCCGCACGAAGACGGAAGTTGCTGGATTTGCCCAATCAGGACACCAATGGCTGATCAGGTTGTTGGACTGTAATCTGTGGCCTGAACATGGCACAGTTACTTGAACTTGCGTCGCAAGAAAACCCATACTAGCAAACTTCGCGCTAGCAACATTTGCTTTGCACATGGTTTCTCCAAAGGCAATTGCCTGCGTTTGCCTGGAACCCCTGTGGCTTGACACCTGCACTTTCCAGGAAACAACTGAGCCTCTTGAATTTTGAAACAACTGAATAAGTTCAAGTTCGAAACCAAAAGGCTGTAAACTCAAAACATATTCTTGCAATGCTTGCCATAGCCACCATACCATAAAATCTACCTACCTTTTCAAATCACAATTACCTCGCATAAATCTACTTTTCAAATCGGCGCCTCTTCCTCTCATTTGGAGGGAGGGCTTCAACGATGCTGCTGCGTTCCTTTGACTGCATCCACAACTTGACAGCATCGGAATGCTTGATATCCGTGTTGTTCTTTTTGGTAGATTCCATAAAAGCTTTCATGGCGGTCGTCATTGGACCATCTGCCGCCTTGCGAGTTGGCTTTTCACCTTTCGGCTTTTCAACCTTTTTGCCCTTGGCTGGCTTGATCTTGGATTTCAAAGTTGGCTTCACAACTGTGGATGCCTCAGCATCCTGGTCAGGCACCTTCGGAACCTGCTGGGATTGCAACTGTAGCTCGAGCCGCTTGGCAGCCAGCTGCTGTCGCTTCTTCATCGGTTGGGGCAACTTATCGGGGGTCTCATCCACTTCAAAGGTGAACCCCTGAAAGGAAGAGGAGCTCGGGGCAACTCCGACATCATCCCACCAACCTTTCGGAACTTTGGAGATGTCATCCTCAGTCCGTAGGGGAACGGCCACATGTCAACCAAACGGCTGTTCACTTTTCACTTTTTTGTTGGGAAAGAGTTGAACAATGGGCTTGTGGCAGTCTTGGCCTTGCTGGAAGGCGGCGGGTCCAGAACCTGCCACATCACAAGTGTTTTGTCATGGTTTCCTGCCATCTCATGGCATGAGAATGAAATCACTAGTTGACTTGTTCCAAGTTCCAAGTTGGGGAGACCATGCCATAGAAAACACTGGCCTCAGTGCCCGGCATATCCATGTACTCTGCAATGAGGGCTTCCACCTAGTAAGTGCCAATTTCAAAAACATATGTCAAGATACCCCTTAGCATGATTTTGAAAGATTGAAGGTAGCCAGCTGCAAAGCTCATTGGTATACCTGTAGATCGACCCCAAGCCTCCATCTCCGTGAATGCATCCTCCTTGCTGCTGATGCTGATCAAGTCAAGGTGTGTGGAATCCTGGAGCGGAAGTGGGTCTACACTGTGCGAAATATGGCCACCCAGTTGCACGAAACTGCAAAACTTGAAGTTTCCATGCCTCAGAGGGGTGATTCTCTTCACCATGAAGCGCCTAGCGCGCACCAAAAGTAAACATATCAAATGTTGGGCGTATTAGTGTCCTGGCCTCATCAACACGGTCCGTTTCTTCCACAGCTTTGGAATCCTGGGATCATGAAGCTGCTAGTTCTGAAATGTTTTGAAAAATTTGATACGGGTTATATAAAAAAATACATATATATATATATATATGTCTATGTATATATATATATGTGTCTATGTATATATATATATATGTCTATGTATGTTTATCTATGATAGACTATGCATGTATGTATATAATATACCATGTTTTACCAGAGAACGGAAATCAAAAGCAAATACACTTGAAAAAAATGCCTGGGCAATGTGGTCGTAATGCTCCACGTTGTCAATCCACCATGACAGCACCTGCGCAACCACGAGGCGAGAGTTTCAGACTCCACCACCACACATGCCTCCTGGCCTCTTGGTCAGCAAGGCCATATCCATAGGACTCGTCCCACTCCGGAATAGCCTGGAGGCACAAAGGTCAGCAAGAGGCAAACAAAAGACCTTGATTTTGGATGCGGTGTTTTTTTTGATGGTTTTTGTTTGAGCCTTGCAAGAAGGAGCCTCACCATCGTGGCCATCCTTATGCCCAGGCCAGCTGTGCACCTGCAGTCCACGAACTATGTCAGCAGAAGACTATATGTATGGCGCCTTGCCTCAACATGATCCTCGCAATCCATGGCCTGCATCAGGCAAAATTTGCACATGGGCAATGTGTGTGTGTGGGGGTGTTATGATGATTTCCTATTTGTTATCCTGGCCTCATCATTGAAGAGGTCATGGTCCTTGGCCTCACGAAACTTGCAGGCACACAGGACTAGAACTAGAAAATTAAGAGCTATAGGCTGACATAGCAGTGAATAAATCTCACCACCCCACCTCCACCTCATAACAATGATCAAACCACTCCTCGTCCTACCACACCAAAAACATGATTTGCAAAACTTTCTTTCCCCAAACATTGCTAGGACCTCTGGGTCATAGAACTGGTTCTGTTCGGCATGGTCAAACGACCAGGTGGGAGCCTGGACATACAGGATGAATCCCAAAAAGACAGCATGTCTATGGCCATGTAGTCACTACCGATCATACTGCGATTTTACAGCCAAGAAAAAGCGGGCCTCTCCATCGCCTTCAGCGCTGGGCTGCCCAGCCTATAGAAAGCATGCATGAGATGAGATGCAACAGGGTTGGAGGCTCCAAACACTGCATGCCTCCTCAGCAAAAGAGTTCCACCAGTCCTAGTCCGACATGCTGATAAACAGCGTTCCAAAATTGAAGGGTTGCAAGACTAAAAACCAAAACAGTTGCACAGGACGGTCATGAATCTGGTCTTCAGGATGCTTCTCGCCAGAAGCGCCATCCTGAAACATGTTGCACATGAGAACTATTTGTAAGTAAATTAAGGCTCAACCTCTGAATTTCACTTGCGCTAGCCTCATAGTCACCATTGCACATGTAGCTCTGCTCAGAGCTTGCGGACTCCTGCGTGACATCTATGAACTTGGGAAACAAAATGATGGGTCCAACCACGACTGTGTTACTTTCCTTTTTTCCCTCCCACTCCTATAGTATAGAATGGGACAAATTACTGTTTGAAATCCTTGCGCGCTTTTTAGCTTGAAAGTTGCCAGGTTTCTCAGCTGAGTACCAGCCTCTGAAGCACTTGCACGATCCAGGCACTCACCACGCTCTGCAGCTCGTAGCATCTGCCAATGCAGCGCACTATGGACTTTGAAAAAGCGAATGCAAACAAACAATGGCACATGCACAGGCACACACCGGCCTTGATTTCAGCTATGCGCTTGTAAGCCCTGTAATAGTCCTGAAGGGTTGAACATGTAGGCATCGAAACTTGCGTATAAAAAGCTCATTGTGAAAGCATAGCACACACGGTCCGAAGACGTCGCATGGCCCAAGCACTCAGCCTGCACGCCAGGTGCTCATGACGAAGCTTGTACTTTTCAAAACACATCCAAATGGACTCACATGCAAGCCTCAGAGTCATAGCCCCCAAGCTCGTACTCCCAATCCTTTCCAAATTCACAGCTGTAGGTTGCACTCCACCCTATGCTAATTAAGATCAAAATCTAAACAAAGTCCTCGTAAGTCATAGCTGGTGGTTCTTTGGCCGCCTCTTCCTCACCCAGGGTCCCACAATAAGAGTTTAAAAAAGTCCGATGCTGGATTGCTGCAGTCCTCAACTTCCGCAGCTTCTCCATGGGCATCCTGCAAAATGAAGCGATGGGGGTGGGGACAAAGACTGCTAGATGAAAAAATGAACCACCAATTCAAAAGTTTTGGGGCGCTACAAGCTTCAGAGTGCTGCAAAAATGAAAGACAATCACCAAATATGTGGTCCCAAAACCCGCTGACAGAAAATTTAATCGGACAGTCCTGACAGTTGAAAACCAATCAGGATTACATCCACATCGGGACATGTATGGATGTGGCTCAAACCAAAAATGTGTACCACTTAAATTTGATATGTTGTGGGGCTAAGACCTTTACAACCCTATTTTCACATTTTTGTTCGAGCCACAACCACCCAATTTTGCACCAAAAATAGGGCACCCCAAAGCTCAAGTGGTGTATGATCATATTCCCCATTGAATTTGTTGCTGTTGCGCTTTGGGGGGTACATATACCGTTAGGCAGCGCAGAAATACTTGACTTTACCCACTCTGCAGCGTCCTCCTCATCCCAGGAACCGTTGGCTGGCACATCTTCCTCCATTGGATCATCCTGAAACTTGGAGCAATTGGCGATGTAGTGAGCTCCAGCTATAACCCAAACAAATATCTATACAGATATATAGGTTATCTTGTGTATATCCCAAGCTGTTTATGTTTTTTTTACCATGGGCATATCTCTGTATAACTCCAGCAAGGTCCCAAAATTTCAATGGGCTGAAAGTGTGGAAAAATATCATTGTTTTTGATGCCAATTTGATTTGAATTGGATTTGTAACAAAACTACATGGGTTCCACCACTATAAACTGACCCTGAAGGGTATAACCCGTGTTGAAATTTTAATTTTGAGCCAATGTCCAAATCGAAAGCATGCGCACTTCCAGTGGCTCCTTCGTGATTTTCGAGGAGCTTCGCCTCGAGCCACGCGGTGATGCAGGAACAGTTCCTTCGGCACATTATGACTGGAACCACATTAGCACCTGTTTCAAAAGGTAAACTTCGGGTGATTTCACAGAATAAGGTGTGAACCATCTCTGCAGCATGCTCATCAGCCTCATTGGTTGGCAGTAACGGGCGTGTTGGTTGTCAACTTTGAAAACAAAATGGGATCGATTGTTTGAAATCAGGGTTCCAAAAAAAATGCGATTGCCAATATCAAAAAATCCATTTTTGGATGCTACACTCTTGACTCTTGGGTTGTATCGTTGCACCATATCTTTCAAACACACCAGACTACTGAGCATTGGGCGTCAACGTCCACCAGGGTATCCAACATAGTCGGGTCAGCCATTCTACGGCCGCGTTTTTTGCAGGCCTTTGAGAGTCGGAGTAGCCTTTTAGCTTGGACCACCATGTAATCAGAGAACGACAGAGACGGGTCCCTAGGTGGGGTGAAGGGCAGTTTGTCCCAGATCTGGCGGCAAACCAGCTTTGAGACTTTCATGGTGAAAAACCGCCCTGTTGTTTTGCTGATCCATGGTTCGACTACCGCCAGAACTTTCTTTTTTTTCAAAGACCCTCTGGGCCAAATTTCCCCACTTGACTCAATTCTCTCCATATCCAAATGGGGTAATGCCCATGCAACAACCTGTTTAGCTTTTCGGTTTCGTTCACGGCGTTGGCGTGCTGCCACACCTTCACCCCAAGGTTTTCGGTTGCCCATGGCTGCGAGGGATTTGAAAAGCTAAGCCGTACCAAATCTGTAACAGGTATCCCTTAAACATACAACTATAATTATACAGATAAGTTATCATTACGATCTCTAAACATGTCCCCATACAATAAAGACACAAACCCAAAAGGAAGATAGCTGAACATGATTTGTTTCTTCAATGATTTTTCTGATATTCTTGTCAGAAAAATGGTACAGCTGGAAATTGAGCCAGCACACATTGATACTGTATGGCCAGCTCGACCGAGAAGAAACATCCAGTAAGACCACTCCCCACTGGGCGAGCCTCTGCTCACATCTCCCCGCATGCCGGGCCAGTTTCAAAAACGGAAAATGTTGAATGATGTGATTTCATCAGTGTTTTCATCAAAGGAAAATTTGGTATGTCCACCTACTAGGTGTCACTTTTGCCCTATGTTAACCCCACCATCATGATAAAAAATGTCGCACTCAGGTTTTGAGCTGCGCTGGAAATGCACGGCGCCGGGCAAGCAAAAGGTTGCAGCCAAATCACGCAGCACATGCCAAAAATTACACATTCAATTTTACACAAGGTTGCTTTATGATGTTAGGCATGGGTTGTAAAGCAATAATAATGGTATAAAACACAGAAATCTACAAACACTAACATATGTTTAACCTTGGGCTATACCTGTAAATATCCACATATATATATGTACATATATGATCATATATGGCATCAAAGACACCCATGGATATGTCCAGGGGTGTCTTTGTTTTTCTTCTCAGAGACGCAGCGATGAACCAAGACGGTACCAGAAGGCTGAAAACATCCTAGAGGTACTTGTATTAATATACATAGTGTTTGAGGTACATTATTATGTTATATTATATATATTATTATATATTATACATAGTCCAAATTATACTGATAATTAGTTGTATTATACGTGGTTCAAATAGTAATATGTATAGGCTGATAATTATACAATATATATATATATATATACAAAGTTCAAAAGAAGTCCATAAGTGTTGTAACACCTTGATCCTAAGCACATGCGGCTCGAGAATCAAAGCCAAAGATTGATTTTTAAGGTCTTTAAATTTCACGATTTATAAGGCCCTTCAACCTCTCCAGGTCATTTCGTGCGAAAGGGTTGCGCCGGACAAGTTGAAATCGCAATTTTACCTCAGTTTTTGGCGATCGAACCTCATTTCGTGCGAAAGGGTTGTCCGGACGACTTGGAAATCGCAATTTTACTTCAGTTTTTAGCGATCGAACCTCATTTCGTGCGAAAGGGTTGCGTTTCGTGCCGTCTCGTTGGCACTGCCCCTGCCCCCGCCTTCAGAAGAAAAATAGAAAAGAAGGAGAAGGCAAGAGGGCAAGAGGACAAAAGGAGAAGATGTGAAGATGTGAGGGCAAGAGGGCAAGAGGGCAAGAAGGCAAGAGGAGAAGATGTGAAGATGAGAAGATGTGAAGATGAGAAGATGCGAAGATGTGAGGATGTGAATGTGTGAAGATGATGAGGAAATGTGAAGATGAGAAGATGTGAGGATGTGAAGATGAGAAGATGTGAAGATGAGCAGATGTGAAGATGAGAAGATGTGAAAGCAGATGTGAAGATGTGAAGATGAGAAGATGTGAAGATGAGAAGATGTGATGATGAGAAGATGTGAAGATGAGAGGATGTGAATGTGTGAAGATGATGAGAAGATGTGAAGATGAGCAGATGTGAAGATGAGAAGATGTGAAGATGAGAAGATGCGAAGATGTGAGGATGTGAATGTGTGAAGATGATGAGGAAATGTGAAGATGAGAAGATGTGAGGATGTGAAGGTGAGAAGATGTGAAGATGTGAAGATGTGAAGATGAGAAGATGTGAAGATGAGAAGATGAGATACAGACCCCCACTATTGGAAGAACCCTGCGCTCAGACGCTCTCGGGGAAAACATCTACTTTTTCAAAAATTGTTTGTTCAAGCAACACTTTGTTGTACAAAACATATGTTTGTCTCAAAGTGTTTGCTCCTTCAAAAAGACAATATTGTATCCCTCACGACAAGATTCCTCTAAAGAAGGATGTTGCTTTCCTTTGGAAGAAGCAGATACTATTTTGTAGAATGCCACATTATTCTTCTTGGCAACTCTTGCATGATGGTATTCCTTTGAACAGACATGTCCATTTTAAAGGTTCAAACTTTCATTGTATAATGTAATAGGTTGAAAGAAGCAACATTCTTGTAGTCATGCACTATATCTTGAAAAACACTAGTCTAAGATGTACTAGTTTTTCAAACAAAATGTACGGTTGACATATACAACAATATTTTCAAAGCGAATCCTTCCTCCTCTCACTAGTCAGACATCACTCCTACAAAAATGAGCAAGATGCCATTCAAGGATCCATAACCCCAAGCAGGGAGTGTACAACCTATAGCTGGAGAATACAACCAAGTTTTGTTCAATACAGCCTACAGCCCATTATCTCCTTTGAAAGGGGCAGCAATTGTGCAGAGCATGCAATAAATCTTTCAAACATGTGCTTGTATTTTTACATTTTCACAAAGGTACAGTACACAATTCACTGCTCAAAAAGAAACTGTTCAAGATACAGCAGTGTTTTCAAGAAGTGCATGTCTCAAGTTTCAGTTGCGCTTTCATGCACGAAATGCATTGTTTCCCTGCAAGTGTGTTATTTTTTTCGACAAGGCAGCGCTTTTAAGGCAAAAAAAAGATTATGCCTGGAGAAGGTCTAGATTCAATTGTAGTTGAACTATCTTTTGAAGAAGTGCATGTTCAATTTGGACATGTTCTTTATTGAAAAGCACTCATGGGCAGCATGAAAGGATGCAGAACACTTTTCAGGAAATTCAGAATTTGCAGCTGGAAATTGCACTCATGTCTGTTGAATATCAAATACATTTTTCGAGAAACATAAACTATTGTGAAAAAACCCAATAAATTTGTCAAATAGTGTATATATATATACATATATAAGATAGTAATATGTACAACAATATAATGCAGAATTCATGGCAGGCATCAAGATCATTGTATATAGACATTTTTTCTTTTCCAAAATGCTAAACAAAAAATAAAGCATTCTTGGAAAGAGACCACATTTCTGCAGAAAATGTAGTCTTTTGGTCAGTCGTGTGTTGTTCACTTTCCAAGCACAGTGTCAAAATCATTGATGAACGCACATTTCTTGTAAGATTACATTATATTATGTTTTGAAATGTTTTGTTTGAAATGTAGCATAACCATCTCATAACTATCCCAACTCATGTATAATGATGCAAAACCTTGTAAAATCAAACCTTTCACAACTCCACCCCCCATGCATACCTGCTCTCTTTCAAAACTAGTCAAAACCGACACGAAATGACACGCATATAGGCGGTGTCCCAAAAGCACCCGACACGTTTCTAAGGGGCGCTCATTAGGCACCCGTTTTGGCTAAGGGGTGCTTTAATAGACACCCCCTACTGACCGACACGGCACGCCAGTGACACGCATTGACACGCACGTCTTTCTTGATTTCTCACAAGAAATATCATGGCAGAAACACAGAAGGCACAAGAGAAGAAAGTCAAATCGGGACAAAAAGGTCGGATTGTAGGACAACTTGAAGAATCATATCCATTGCCTTCACTTCGAAGAAAAGATCAACCTCTTGGGGCAGTGCTTTCATGTTGTCAACAAGACTGATTGTATTGCTTGGAGAAGACTCACACCTACAGGCAAACGTGATGAAATCATGTAAAAATGCACGAGTATTTACGAATACTCCGTTATCCGTTAGTTTGGGACCTGAAAATTAAAGGGTGCCTATTAGTTACCCCCCTTATATGGGGCGCTTTATAGGCACCCGTTTGGACATCCGGAAGGCACAAGTTTGCACGTGGGCAGCGTTGTCCTGTTTGACCTTCAAGTGCGGCAAGGGACTGTACTTAGGGCATCTTAGAGAATCAAACCCACAGAACGCAATCGGTCGCAATCACCTGCCGCATCCTGCTGCCCTATATGCAGGATTCAAACTCGAGAGTTAGCAGAAAAGCGTCTCAAATCCCAGGCCTGACCGGCTGAAGATTAACAAGATACTTCTTGAAGCCCAGCACCCAAGTGCCCCCGGGACTTCTTGAATCCTGGTGACGTCTAGAATCCCAAGAAACGGAATGGGTTGTGTTCTAGTAAATAGGTTTAATGGGTGACCATCTTTGCAATCTTAAGAATCGGACTTGGAAGCAAGCTTGGAATATTTTGCAGAGTCTTGCTGCTTCCTGTTTACCTTCATCTTGTCCCCTGAAAGGCCTTTTCAGGGAAATTCAGGTCTGCCATCAGCACGGTTGGAAGCTTCTTTCCGTTCACGATTTCCGCAAGGCGATCCGCAAATTCTCTTCGGGCACGCCCAAAGGGAGCACCAGGCACATGCCTATAGGCGACTGTCGGTTGGCTCAGCTGGGGCTCTCACTAAACATGACATTGGATTTCCAAGGATTCAAAAATCAAATGATATCAAAATTTCCTATCATTTCCAATGATGAGCGTGATGAGGCTGAACTCATTGGAAATCTGTACAGCCCAGGCACGTCGTCACCACACGCAAAGACTCTGTCTCAAGCTGGAAATGGACTTCTGTCACCACCTGACAGATTGCGAGAGGACGATGAAGCGGGTCCATCAAGGATGGCATGGGAGTCAACACGTCCAGCAAAATCCCAAAATGATTTTTCTGGAGAAAAGATGGCATAAAAGCCAAACAAACAGTCATGAAACATGGATTTCAAACTTTCAAACACCAAAAAATCTGCAGCTTTGAATCTGTGCCTTCTTGGAGTTCTCTGAGAAGGGGGTATGATGGTGAACAAGCATCACCCTGAGCTTGGAATCGAAGACAATCACCTGCAACCAAGCTGGGACACAAACAACGCGAAACAATTGAGATAAACCCACCGGCGCCTTACAATATCCAAAACGACCAGGACTAGTGCACAGAGCATGGTTGCACAACAAATATGTATGAAATTGCACGATTTGTACAGGTTGAGTAAGTATATTGGGGATGCCCAATGGGCATCTTAGAAAGTGCGCGACTTTGTGCATCTTTTGTGGGGAAGGTGCAGAAGGAAAGATAGGAAAGCAGGAGACTCACCATGACTTGCCTCCTGGTTCTTGTCCTGCTCATCCCCACTGCAGAGCGTCTCAAACAGAAGGTTCTCACCCAAAGTTGCCTTCAGCTCTGCAATTAGCTCGGGCCAGCACTCTTGCAAACATAAAATGTGGATATTTGTCTTCAGCAACATCTCCTGAATCTTTTCAATGATCACGTTTTCTCTTGTTTCCGCTTCATGCAACGTTGTTATCTGCGAACCTTTGAGTCCTTGCGTATCTGCATCGATGTACTTGTAGTAGTTCCTATTCAGCACATTACATGAAGCAACCTTGAGGGAGCACTCGCCAAGTGTGAGTTGGGCCGCAATCGGCGGATGGTCAGAGGGAAACTGCCAGAGCTCACCAAGCCGTTTGGCCACCGGGAATTCGAAAGATCCCAACTTGCTGATGACCACCGTCTCCACGCAACTTTCCAACAAGAGCTGAGCTTTATGAAGACCTCTGCTGCAAGGTTTCTTCGTTTCTGGGTCGATTATTGGCTTCTTGATGTACTTCATGGCATCCTGGATTCGCTCCAATCCGTCTTGCGCTACCGGCTGCTCGGAATCCTCTACGCTGTGGAGGCGAGACTGCAAGTGGAACAAGTTCTGACCTTACACTGGCCAGGATGGGAAAACTCCTGAACTTGGAATCTAAATCCGCCGACCGATAGCAGGGGGGAAGGGTGCAATTTGGAGCTAGTTTCTTGTCGGTGGCACGGTGTATCAATTTTGGGAGCCAACGTTTTGGCGGCTTAAAGGCTGCAATTTGGAGCTAGTTTCTTGTGGGGTCAGAAAGTGTCGTAGGCACAGAGGCAGCCAGCATGGTGTTTCGGTGTGCAGAGCCAACGTTTTGGAGGCTTGAAAGCTGCAATTTGGAGCTAGTTTCTTGTCGGTCCAGAAAGCGAGGTTAGGCAGAGGCAGCTGCAGGCCGAAGGCCTGCACGTTTTGGAGGCTTGAAGGCTGCAATTTGGAGCTAAGCCTGGTCCCGGTGTGGCGGAGACAACGTTTTGAAGTTGAAGGCTGCAATTTGGAGCTAGGTTCTTGTCGGTTCAGAAAGCGACGGCGACGTTGGACAGAGGCAGCCGCAGGCCTAAGGCCTGGTCCGTCCGTCTGTGGCATAGTGTTTCGATGTTGCGAAGCCAGCGTTTTTGGCGACGTTAGGCAGAGGCAGCTAAACTTCACGTAGTCAAAACTGCATCAATTTGAATAATAGGTTCACCTCCGGACACCTTCTTACAATTTCTCCTTCCTCTAGCTAATCATGCTCCCTCATTGCATTCTAAGGAACTTTACCCAGCCATCCCAGGCCTCCTGGCCCAGGCTGGTGGTGGTGGTGGTGGTGGTGGTGGTGGTGGTGGTGGTGCTGTTAGTCTCGGTGGCGTGGCTGTTACTGTGCGGGTGCTTGGCTTGCGGTGTGTTGTGTGGTTGCTGGTGGACTGGTGCTCGGTGCTGGTGCTGGTGGTGGCTGGTAGCTGTGCTGGTGCTGGTGCTATGTGCTGGTGCTCTGGTGGTGGCTGATTCTGGTGGTGCTGGTGGCTGCTGGTGTGGTTGGTGGTGGTAGTCGTTGAGCGAATGTCCCATCATACACCATACTTGAGGTCTCGATGCGTATTCAAGTGTGTGTTTGTGAAAACTGGGGGGCGGGCGGGAGGTCGCTGGCGGACTCTCAACCAATCACTAATCACTTGCTACAAGCTACAAGCAAATGTTGCCCCAACAAAACATGAAAACAAACTTGCTTTTAGCAAAGTCTTCAAGTCTATTTGACTTCACGTGATACTATATCAAATCATACCCTGAGCAAAGCGACAGCCATCTAAGTATGACACTTGGATCTAGAGATTTGCTTGTTTTCAGCATGCCATCAATCCCTTTGAGCGCTCCTCCGAACACCTCAAAACTCTTTACAACCTCCTCCAAGACAGTAAGCTGAACTTGCTTGATGATGCTGTAAACTCATCCTGTGCCATTCAGCTTGCATTGTCAGCTTGGAATAATTTTCTCCGATTTTTTCAAGTGATTTCAGAGATTTGTGAAAGTGTCTTTTGCTGCATAGCATGTGACACGTTTTGTGCGATTTGAGCAAGTCGTATGCAGTTTAGAGCTTGATTTCCAACTTTCCTGACAGCGCGTTCAGATTTCGAACGCGGAACAGTGATTTCAATCTTTGACAGAGCATTGAGATTTCGAACGCGGAATTCACACAGTGATTTCAATTTTGGAGAAATATTTAGACGTGCGAAAGAGGAATTTATAATCAGCTGCGGTACAGCTTATGAGTTTGAAGCTTCTCAGAAATCGTTTTGTGACGTTTCCACGGTTGAGACTTTTTTGAACATCCTCATGATCTCCTATTGTCTTGCGTTTCCTGGGTCCAAGCAATCTGTGTGATCGAAGTTTTTGAACCGCTTTTGATCACATTTCCAATTTGAGAGCCGTGCAAATTTGCAAGAGTTTTTTTTTCCGAACTAGAGTAAGCAGACATGACGTCTGAACCGAATGTGAGTTTGGAAACAATTAGAGAATTTGACCGCAACCAAGCTTTCAGCTCTCCCTGTTGCCACAGCATTGTGAACATGCTCAGCCGCATCGTGCTTCCTTTGATCAATGAGATCAGCATTCCGCCAACAACATGTTGGCTCAAGATTAGGAGGCGTAAATTCTGCTAGCACAGTGAGACAAAAAGGGCGTGAGTTGTCAAGCAGAGTTGTCCACATTCTCAGTTGCAATTATCTACTCTTCTGGGGTGATAATTCTCGCATGGTAGCGAGAGCCAGTGTTCTCCTAGGAACCCCCTTGAATTGGTCTTCTCCTAGGTTTCCCCAGGGTTCAGGATTGACAGCAGACAACTGATCTTGACAAGAGATCTTGGAACCTACATCTAGCAGAATCTGATTTTGCAGCTATGGAGCAGCCGGCCAGAGACAGGTCACCGAGAGGCCGTTCTCAAACGAGAAGAGGAGTTTCTTTGCCTGCAACAACCGGATATGCCCCTGGAAGTGCAAATGCCTCCTTCCCCTTTGTCTTCGAGGAGCAACTCAATCGAGTCCGAATGAGCATGGACACTTTGCAAGCGGAAGTTGGCAAGGCAGTTCGAGAACTTGCAGGTCACCAGAAAACTCTTGTTGACACCCTTGAGCGTCAGCAGCATGAGCTGAATGATATACGAGCCCAAAGAGTGCCAATCCCTCCAAGTGCTTCTCAGTCAGTGGCGGCTGCCAATGAGGATCGCTTCGGTGCCATGGGAGAAGCCAGTCCTTTTACTTCTGGACAAGACCCGCCCATCCAATTGCCAGTGAATGCTCAGCAAGGTGCAGGTGGACTTGCATCGGCGATGCCAAATACTGCAGTGAATGCGAGCTCAAGCACTGGACATGGGGTAAAAATTGTCTTACCCGATGGTACGGAGATCCCCTTGGGAGGCCAGTCAAATGCCGCGGGTCCTAAAGTTCCTGGATCCACACAGCTAGATGCGCTGCAGAGAAGCGACAAGTGGCTGCCTAGCATGCCCGTGGTCGAGTCGAATCGGTGGAAAAGCCGAATGGAGGAGATTTTGGGCATGGAACAGCGGCTCGATTCATTTTGCAATTGGCTATCTTTGATTTCAGAGCCATTTTGCACAGAAGTGAAGTTTTCTGCGACTTCTCCGCTGCCAATTGACAAGAAAGATTTGTCAACTGACCAGATTTCCCGAAGCTCCAGGCTCATGGCAATGCTTCGCCAGACCTTCCAGATGACTCCGCGAGCCAAAATCATTCTGCTTGCTTATGTAGAAGGCCCTGGAGATAAGAACGGGTATGAGGCTTTGCGAAGGATTGTCCAAGAATACATGATCAAGACTCGTGCTGAGTTGATGCATTTCCGCACATCTTTGCTTGGCCAAACTTTCAAAGCTCAAACAGTGACAGAGGTAATCAAGCAAATTGAGTTCGAGGAGAGCCGGTACAACAAGCTTGCTCGGATGTTGCCCTCGAATGTACTAGCTTCCGATTTGGCCCTGCTCCCTAGTGATTTGGTGATGGTCCTCATCAAATCCTTGCCTGTTGGTGTGAGGGAATATGTTGTCATGCATAGCCCAAGCCATGACTATGTGCAAATGAAAAATGCCGCTTTGTTGTACGAAGCCAACCAGAGAACTTGGACAGAGATTGCAGGCAGCAGTTCTGCCACCTACATGCATGGAATGTTTGACACGAATGACAAGCCGAAAGGAAAGGGCAAAAGCAAAGATGGTAAGAAAGGAAAGGGGAAAGCAAAAGATTCAAATAAAGGTGCAGCTAAGGGCAATGGTGAAAAGTCAGAGAAGGAAAGGAATGCCATGTGTTTCCGATGTGGTCGCACAGGCCATTTCTCTTCAAATTGTCATGCCAAGAAAGACAAGGATGGCAAGCCGCTTGAAGGGAAGCCCGCTCCAAAGAAAGATGGAAAGGGATCTGGTGAAGAGAAAGGTTCCAGCACAGGTCCTCAGAACAAAGGAAAAGGCAAAGGATCCAAAGGTAAGAAAGTCAATGAAATGCTTGAGCAGCCTGAAGGCGAATCGTGGCCTACCAATGGTCCAGCTGAAAGTCAGGGTTCCAATGGAGATGGCAGCCGTGCGTCAGCTGCGAAGCAAGCAGCAGCCCCTTTGAATCCCATTTTGCCTACTCAGTCTTGGTTTGAAGACACGATCGTGCAGTTTGAGCGAGAGCAGATCACAGAAGAGCAGTTCGATTTGGTCCACGGATCATTTCTCATGGAGGAACAGTTTTCTTCTGATTTTGATTTTTCATGTTTTGGAAACCCATCAGATTTGTGGAGTAAAACCAAGCATGTTTGTACCATGTCAGCTGCAGTTTTCATGCCAATGATGCCAGATGTCCCATCAGATTTGCACTGGTGGCTCATTGATTCAGGAGCATCAGCCTCTGTTGTGAGTTCTCGCTTCCTGAAACACTATGAAGTAGTAAAGAATCAAGTGCTGGGACCAGCAACCGGCCCTGGGTTTTCATCGGCAAGCGGTGAGACAATTCATCCAACTTCCCTTGTTTGCTTGAAAGCATTTTTCCGCTTGACGTCCAGAGAAGATCCTTCAGACACCATGTTGAAAGAGTGCTTAGCTTCAGCTTTTGTAGCAGATGTTCCCAATAATGTTTTGTCAGTGGGCAGCTTGCTGCGAAAGGGTTGGTCATTAAGCAGTTCCGGAAGTGAATTGGAAGTGTGCTTTGGAGGATACAATTTGGACTTGGTGACATGGCAGAATGTGCCATGGATTTTTCACGAAGTTGAGACGGTCATGGACTTTTCCGATGATCGCGATTTGCAGAAGACATTTTGGAGCCGTCGGAAAATCCATGATGGTCCGGTGAACACGGTTGAGCATTTGAGCGAAACTGACAAATCCATGTTGATGACAACCAAGAGACAGCCAGATGTTTCATTGGAAGAACTTGACCCCGCTGCTGCATCCTCTTCTAGCCCAGCATATGTTAGTAGTAGGCCTGTTTCCGATAGTGAATCTCCATACCGTGAAAGCCTCA